CATAGTGAAGACAGTCAGAAAAGAACGATGAGTGGCCGTAGCAGTAGCAAGAACTAGGGGGTTTGCAGGCAAGACCCATCTATCTGGCCCTTAACCCAGTATATACCGGCCCCTGTGGTAGGGCCCAAGGGATTTAACTCAGCAAGAAAAATGGCAGCAACAACACTAATGATAACAAAAGCATACCCTAAATCCCGTTCATACCCAAAGCCCTGAACCCTACAGTATACATACCTACATATCTTCATATACCAGGCTCCCTTTCATGCAGCTGGTTTGTAGGGGATAAAGGCTGGAACCGAAATGGAAACTATCACATTCTTTGGGATTACGGATTATAGGGGCTCTGTAGGGATACATTCCTCCATTCCCTGCGTACAACCCTACCCCATACCTTAAACCCTAAAGCCCTAAACTCAAGACATATGGCAGTTTCCCGAATCAGGGGGACCCTAATGTAGACCTCCAAAGACAAAATCCTATTATAGGGCCCTAATTTTGGGAAACCCCCATATTTCTTCAGACGCCCAGATACTCTGTAAGCCTCCCTTCGGGGATGGTCAGGTCCTCGAGGTGATCCAAATTTAGAGCTCAAAAGTGAATTTGACTTCCCTTTTACTGTAGTCTCCTTAGGAATTATATCTGCATTGCAGTATGACCCGAAGGAATTATCAAGAATGTTTTTGTTATAGGTCTAAGGAGACTTCAGTTTAATTCTGCGGGATCGAGTTTTTGCGGTAGTTTTTAGATCCCGTTTGGGATCTGTGCCTTAAACCCTCAACCTTGACTAATGCCATATACGTAAAAGTTTCCGTTGCCATTCCCTACATGAATTGTCAAATCCATCCTGGGGCTTGCGGCGGATGCTCGCAACCCTAAACCCCAAACCCTGAACCCCTAAACTCCTAAACCCTAAACCCTGGAAGTGCCAAGGAGGTGAAGACTGAGAATGACCCGCCAGCAGCAGAGACGACAGGCCTTTCAGAGCCACATGGAGTTGCTGAAAAACAAGGAGACCTAAACTATATATATATATATACACACATTCAGAGGGAGGGAGAGGGAGAGGAACAGGGAGAGAGAGAGAGCGACAGAGTTGTGTATCGATGTTTGTATTGGCTTTTGGGCAAAGAGGGAGACTTTACAGCCCTCTCAGAGGTGTCCGAGGGATGGGCAGATGTTTCTATACCATATGGGATTTAGGATATAGGATCTTGATATGGCAGAGAGAGAGAGATAGATAGATAGATAGATATATATATATATGTATAGAGCGTTTGGGTGTATAGGGCTTCTCAAAACAGGGGTGCTCTAGTGCCCCCAAGGACACATATGAAGGTCAGGAGTTACGGGTAAAGGTTTTAGGGTTTATTATGCACAGACTAGTGGGGTCTCGTTGATGATTTGTCGGCGCCTATTTTGAGAAATCCCCATGTCATCTCGGGATACTCGCATCGTGCGGAAGCACCCTCCGCCAAACGAACGTGGAGCCCCATATAGCCCGTTTTTCAATGACATCTATGTAGGGCCCCTGTTGAGGTTCCATGGTCATCTTTGGGGAGCGTGTGCAGGTTTAGGGTTGCAGGCTGGGTAGTTGGGGGTTTGGGGTGTTGGGGCTTGGGGCTGCAGAGTAAGTGGCTAGCATGTCTGTTTCGGATAGAAGGTTCGGGTATCAAGTTTAGAATTTTGGGTGGACCGTTTGTGGATTGAGTTTGCACTATACAATAGCAACATTCTTGGGGATCCTTGCAAGAATCATTATTCCTTGCGTATAGGTATTGGGAGTCTACACTCGTTATATGCTTTGGACCCTTGTGCTTATGGTTGGGGCTTTGCATTTGGGATTGAGGACTCCAGCTGAGGCTTAGGTTTCATGATATTGGGATCATTCTGGGATGCTCTCAGAAGCGTGTAGAGATTGCGCGGGAAAGGCCATGAGTTGAGCAGCAGGCGAGGCCGCCGCGGTGGGCGCAGAGACAGAAGCCACCGAGCCAAGCGATGTGAAGAAGGCACAGCGAATGTTTGTAAGCTTAATGGCATCCTCCCTGAGTAGTGAGCAACCGTAGTAACGGCAGTGGTACGAGGAGTAGTAGGAGGAGAAGGTATTGGGTCTGTCTTGTTTGATTCCTCTTCCGGCTAATAACTTTGACAACGATTCTGCATGGGGTGGTCAGAGGGTGCCCTAGATTCTAGCTCCTCTTGTCTTGTTCTGCTTATTCAGATCCCGTATTTTAGTTTCCCAACCTGGGGACCATAGACCCCAAATACTACCAATCCTTACTATTGGGACCACCAAAATGTAAGCCCTAAACTTTAAACCCGAAACCCTATGTTAGCTGCCCCCCAGGAGCCTTCCGAAGCGAACGCCTCTGCCGAAGCTCCGGAGGTCTGCTTTAAGGTTTGCATCTTTTTGTTGAGGATTTAGGGTTTTGGGTTTGGTTTAGGGTTTAGGTGTTTGGGGTTAAGGGGTTTAGGGTTCTAGACGCTCGACTGTCGTAGTTTCTAAAAAAAAGGGGTCCTCTTGTATACCCCTGTATACTATAAGTCCTTTTTCCGGGCATGGACTTAGGGGATCCCACTGAAAGGAACTCCTGGTTTCTGAGGGTTCAGGGTTTAGGGTTGGGGTGCAGATTTTTTGCCGTTCTCAGAAGCATCCTAGTCTAAAAGCCATATCATGCCTGCGCCGCGCGTATCCTCCCCTATGGAGTACATGAGTCCCGAAACCCTATACAGCTCTTGAATATGACCCTTCAGCCCTGTAGACATCTAGCCGGCGCAGGGATAAATATATATATATATGTGTAAATATCTATGTTTGTGTATATACACATATGTGTATTTACATATCCGCATTTATATATATATGTATATGTATACACATGTGTGTATATAAAGTTCACTCGGCAGCTTGCTGAGGTGCCCGCTCAAGCACCTATGGACGTGGACACTCCGAAGTCTTGACCTGAAAATCCTCCACTCGAGCAGGGAGACGGTTGGTATTTTGTTTTTAGCATGTCCGGGTCTTGGGGACTGGGGGATTTGTAGTTTTAGAGGTTCGGCGGCTTTGGATGGCTGTGCTCAAGTATGGAGCACATGAAGAGGATCTCTGCTCTGCCGAAACCTCCCAAATATCCTTAATAGCAGCCAATCTACCCGAATCTATCTGTTTTTCTGCGTTGAAAGGCTATCATTTTACGTAGTTGGGATGCTTGATTGCCCCCCCTTAGTCTCCTACAATTATAGTATGGTCCATAATTACCTTGAACCTCCAATGGCAAGTAATCCGTTGAAGTCCTCATCTCGACCAGCACCTGGATCAAGGGTTATTATGAGGGACCCCTAGAAGGGGCCCCTAGTCCCAAACCTTATATAGCCCTTATATAGGCCTTGTTTACCCCTTACAGAGCCCGTTAGTACCCCCATTTCTTCCAATAAGCTACAAGGGTCCCCATTTCGGGTCCCTCCTAAAGCCCCTAGACTGGAGCCCTGAGGCCAGAAGAGGGGGCCGAGCCCGCTGCAGCACCACCGTCTGTCACTGATAGTAAGGCGCTACAGAAGGATCCCTTGTTGAGACCCAACATTTGTGATAGTAAGGCGTTAGTAGGGAATAATTATAAGAGAACGTAACATGTGGGGTTTAGGGCTCAAGCTTAGGGTTCAGGGTTAGTAGGGGATAAGGGAATATAATCCTCTGTAATCCTTACATAGCACATTCCGTTATTACTAACCGCGAGTAAGTTTATGAAAATACAAGAAACCCCGTAGGAGCCTATCACCCAGGCATTCGTGATGAAATGTCGTCTATCATAGACTCTTGGTAACGTTGGACCTCCTTTTGCCTATGGGCCTCCTATAATGAGTTTAGGGGCCGGCCTATTCAGGATCAGGGCAAGGATTGGAAGGTCCCCTATGATGAGTTTCGATTTTGGGGGCCCAAAAATACAGGAAGGATCCGTGGGAGCTCAGGGGGGCCGTATTGAGGATCCCTAATTTCTATTTTTCGGAGGGCCCTAATGTTAGGGGGGGGGGACCATCCTCATTAAAGAGGGTCCAACATTACCCTCTAAAATATCCTCCATCATAGACCCTGGACATCAGATGCCGGCCCCTTCACGTCCCCTAAACCCTCTGCCCTAAACCCTAAACCCGAAAGGTGGACAAGATCCGTGTTCAAGTCAACGGCTTGTCCTCGTCAGAGGCAGGGGATGGGATGATCTCCACTACCACAATATGGGGATATAGTCTATATGGTCTAAACACCTTAAAGGGTGGTCATATTAGGGGAGTATTGAGGGGGTTATTAAGGGGATACTACGAGCTTAGACTATAGCTCATATGGGGATATACAAGCTTGCTGTTCCTACTTGTGCTACAGTACTACTTTTTCCTTCTGCTTCTGCTCCTTGTGCTGCCGTTACCGCTTGCACTAATCACTTGCGCCACCCGCGCCCGCACTCGCACCCCTCGCCAGCATGGGCACACCTTTACCTGCACCCGCACCCGCACCCGCACCAGCACCCGCACCACCAACAACCACCACCGCTTCCGCCGCCACCATGAATCTAGTACAAAACACTTCAACCATTCTTCTCTGTTCTACCCAAATTCGGAGGCTTCTGCTTTTTTTTTTTTTAACGACGTGGCAGCTCCCGCCGGCAAGTGTTGAGGCAATGCACATCCTCCTTGACTATGTCTACGGAGGGAGCAGTGCGCGTGCTTCAGCATTCACTCAAATACTTGCTCCAAGGGCCTGCAGCCGCTAGCTCCTGCAGTCATGCACATGTTTTGTTGTTAGGTGTATAGTATTAGGGGTATAATATAGGGGTATATATATATATAGGGATAATGGAAAATGCAAAGTGGAAACTAGTATTTAGGGTTTAGGATTCCTGGAATCTGCGGCAAGGCCAACTGGGACTACCAAGCTACAAGTGCACAGGACTGCATTGGGCATGCTTTTGCCTCTGTCAGCAAAAGGATTGTTGGCCTTGCCTGGACAGGTTAACAAAGATGTCTTACGCCTCGCAACTCACTTCGGCTTCGCAATACTGCATGAGCATGCGGCCGCAAGCTCAAGTTCAATTTCATCAACATCAAATTGGTTTGCCCTGTCTGCGCATTGACATTCATCAGTGGTTCTTCAGCTGCAGGCGAGATGGCTTGTCAAAGGCTTGACTACCGAGAACGTGGTGGACCGGCTTGTAACGCCAGCTGCTTACGAAGGTTTGTGCAATTGCCTGGCGATCTAGGTTCAGCATGAGCCTTGCCACAGCACTCAATGACCCCCTTAGGTAAGGGACTTCTTTCCGACTCTAACTCTGTCAGAACCACAAGGGTCATGACATCATGATCCCAAAGGTTAGGCCCTGTGGCCTGAAGCCCCATTAAATCCCGAATCCCTCGGTTCGGGTCTGCAGGTGTGAGGAGTTTGGATTGGGACTTCTCCGGGAGAAGATTACAGAGAGGCCGTGCAAGTGCAGCAGCCGCTCAATCAGTGTCTCATTGTGTGCATGAAGCCTACCCTTGCTTTAGAGATACAGGGACCGCTGTCGTAAGTCTCCTTTGGCTTGTTTGGCAGCTATTGCTTTGAGGTATGAGGACTGCCCAACACCACAATTGTTTGATCTAGCGCCCGTTTCATTATGGATAGCATTACGCATGGCTATCTCCACGCTAGAGCTAGTCTCCTGAAACCATCTACCACCAAAAAAGCCTATACTCCACACCTAGATAAGCCCTCGCCCGTAAACCTTATCCTTCATCCCGACATCCTAATCCTTAAGATCCCTCAAGCCCTACTCCCTGCATCCCAAACGTACACCCTTGAGGCTATACAATCCCCAAACCTTATATCACCTCCCTGAAACCCCAGCTACCTACAGTTTTATGGGTTATACCTATTGATCAAGGAGTAATAGATATTAAGCTCTGGGTAATTGGGGCTACAGGTCCCTAAGTCTTCATCCCTACTGATCACAGCGGAAGGCTCGCCCTCAAGCCAGCCGAGCTGATGTTGGTCTGCAGCAGCCCGGAGATCACGAAGCACCCACGCATCTTGCAGGACCTTGCTACATGAGAGTTTTCAAGATTTGGGGGTTAGGCTTAAAAGTTTGGAGTTTAGACTTCAACGTTTCAGGTTGACCATGGCTTTTGGCAGTATCGTATAGCACACTACGACATATTATAGTGTAATATTTTGATATACTATAGTATACCATAGCAGATTAAAGGCCGTTATAATATATTCTAGCATGCTGTACTATACTACAGCATACTATAGTATATTTGAGGCTTTCAGGTTTACGCGAGTGCCAAAGGTTTAGGAAGTTTAGGCTTCACGGATAAATGAAAGCATTCCTGCACACGGTTTAGGGTTTAGGGTTGAGAGTTTAGGGATTTAGGGTTTAGGGATTTAGGGTTTGGGGTTTAGAGTTTGCGGTTTAGGGTTTAGGGTTGGGAGTTTGGGATTCAGGGATCCAGCGAATGCGGTAGTTCCAAGAGTACAGGGTCTGGGGACTGCAGGATCTAGGCTGGAGGATGTCCTGCATGAACGAGCTATGGTCTAAACTCCTTCAAATGGGTTATATCGGGATTATAGTATAGGGTTCCTATTATAAGGCTGATTCAGGGGGATAGTTGGAGTTGAGATTATAGCTCACATGCAATGAGACATGAGGCTAGATCCGTCCTCAATATTCTGCTGCCCTGATCGGTCGCTGTGCCGCTATGTTGAATGTTTTGTCCTTCTTGTGACTGCATAGTCAAAGCTCTGCAATGTGCGCTCAACCGGGCCATCTAGTATGGCTCTGTAAGGCGTGGGCCAGAATTTCTTTGGGCGTTTCGCGTAGTATCCGGAGGTTGCCTGAGCTTTCGTAGATTCCATACTCTCTAAACCCCAAACCCCAAACTCCAAACCCTAACCCCAAACTCTAACCCCGAAACTCTAAACCCTAAACTCCTACACTCTAAACTCCAATCCCAAAACTCCAAACTCTAAACCCCAAACCCTGGTGTAGATAAGGCTTCAGACCTGGGCTCAGGCTCCAGGCAATATCCTAAACCCTAAGCCCTAAATCCCGGATGGCTACACTCCTAAGCCCTACACCAGAATCCTCTGAACCCTTACCCTAAGGGTCCAAGGATCCAAATAATAGGGCTTTGGGGCCCAAATACCTATAATATTAATGGTATTTGGGCCCTAAAGCCCTATTATTGGAGTGGAGTCCTTGGACCCTTAGGGCTATAGACCCTAAACCCTCAACGTGATTTGGGTCCCTGGACCCTTAGGGCTACTTATGAACCCTAAGCCCTCAACCTTAGCCACTTTTTGCAGGACCTCCTGGTGAAAGTCGCATCGCTGAAAGACAAGCCCATCCCCAAGAATGTCCCTGAGGTGGTGGAGGAGAAGGAGGAGGCCGAGGATTTAGGGTTTAGATCGGGGTGTATTAGGGTTGAGGATTTAGGGTTTAGGATTTAGGGTTTAGGGTTTAGGGTTGGGGTTTGGCGTTGAGGATTTAGGGGTTTACGGTTTTGGGTTTGCTGTTTCGGGCTTGGAGTTTAGGCTGCTTCCTGATGCTTAAGGGGCGTGCGGGAGTAATGTGGGCACTCTCACAGTGGATTGGTCGGTATGCAGCATCTCCTCAGAAGAGAGGTAGACCCATGCTGAGATGCTGGCCCTGAAGAACAGCGACGTATGAATCAAGGGTTTCTACACTGCCACCAAGATTCCCAAACCCTACACCCTAAGGCCTAAGCCTTAAACCCCAAGCCCTAAGCCCTAAACCCTAAACCCTAAACCCTACACCTTTCTGGTAGTATCCATAGTCCTTGGGACAGGGGGAGACTACGAAGTACACCGGCTGCTTAGAGCAGGAGAAGCCTGCAAAGCCCGAGAAGGAGAAGGTCGAAAAGCCGGAGAAGCCTGACAAGAAGCGCCTGGATCACTGTTAATAGTAACAAGATTTCATATGAGTATTATTGCTAGTACTAATCTTTTTCATTTTCTCCATTTTTACATATATACATATATATTATTCCTACCTGGATCACCGTTAATCATATTTTTTTGATTTCTAAAGCCATCCCAATATAATAACCCAAGGGGTCCATGTAGGTATGTGGTATATACTTAGGGCCCAAAGGCAAAGGGGTTCCCACATACCTACTTTAAGGCCCATGGATCACTGTTAATAGTAACCAGATTTATAATTCTCAGTATTAATATTAGTAATAACATAGGGGATTATATAGGGGACTACTATAGGGGTTATTAAGGGGGATACTAGGAGTTTAGACTATAGCTCATATATGATATGGGTGGTGGTCAAATTTTTGGTCCCTTTTTGGGTACCCTAAATATTAGGTGCCGTATTATAATAGGGACCCCAAAAAAGGACCATAATTTTGACAACCACCCGTATTTGTTGATTTCTAAAGCCATCCCAATAAGGACATCAGTTTCATGTATGACCTAGGCACAACCTTGATGAACCTCCATGGGAAAAGAGCATCACACGCTTGTTGCGGTTCCAGAAACAGCCTAGGCATGAGAAGGCTGAGAAGGCCGAAAAGCCATCCAAGCAGGTGCCTGCGTTTGTCATGTCACCGATTTTTTTTGACCCACCCAAAGGGTCCATGTAGGTATATGGGATATACTTGGCCCTTAAAATACGTATATGGGAAACCCCTGTGGGCCCTAAGTATATACCATGTACCTACATGGACCCTTTGGGCTACACCCTAAACCCTAAGAAGAATCTTACAATTCGCAGAGGCTTCTTTGGGGGCCATCTCGTTGTATGACGGTCATGCAAACAAGCAGGGGTTGGGACGATGGCAGCGTGGAGGGTCCCTTGCAGGGATCGTTCCAGAGGCGGATGTTTTCAGTTGTTTTTAGTGAAGCCCTAAACCCTAAACCCGAAAATCTGCAGGAAACAGGAGAGTAGGGCTCACATCGGGGTGCATAGGCACTAGGGATGAAAAGTGCTGGGCTCAGGGTTTACAGTTTGAGGATTGAGATAACTGTTCGGGCTGTCAAAGCCTTTAAGTGCAGTTGTTTCATGGCAGCCATACGGATGAAGCCGCCATCTTGATGTAAGAAAACCAATGACAATCAGAGCCAAAAAGATCTTAACGATTGTTAGTGGATCCCTATAGTAGCCCGTATAAAATAGCGCCCAACAATATCGTAGTTTCCGTACTCTAAACCCTAAATCTTAAACCTAACAACCAGTGCTGGGGGACTTTTGCCTTGGGGCCGCGCATTGCCCATCCGAAAAGGCCGGGGGGAGTAATGAAGCCTGCAACCTAAATTCACGGCCCTCACTGAACTTTTGGAGGCAGTTCCAAACTTATGAATTAGGAAGTGTCACAGTTGATGCTTAAAATTCTGCATGACCCTGTTATACAACTTTCGCTGGGAACTCCCGTGCCACGCAGATGAGACGTGCCATGAAGATGAGATGGGGGGTTACATAGTGGGAAACCCTAAGCCCCAGTATAGACCCATGACATATTCACACCGCAAAGCCTACGAACCGACCTTGCTTTGAAATGCGGAAACCTCCAGATGGAAAATCGCCAGGCTGAAAAGCAAACAGGGAAGAAACGCAAGGCCAATGTTTGATTGCAAGTGCGCTGATGGATTCCAGGGCTCTTGTTGTAGCCTTCGCATATTTGTAGTATAGCATGCCCAGCAGTACTCTCAACAGATCAAGCCAACTCTGGCTTTGGGTCATGATGGTAGCTGATTGAACTATTGGATCCCTTTTTTGGGTTTCTGCATGGACGGCCAGAAAAAGTTATCTACACCTGGTTTAAGGCTTTGAGAGATGCATCTGCTTCCCAGGCAATGGGTTTAGGGTTTAGGGTTTAGGATGATTCTTTCTCACAATAGTGAGGCTCGTCTTGGGTCCCAAGGTTTGAGTGCACATGCGCTGAAAGACCACGAGTGTTATCAGAGGGCTTGCGCAGGACTCCAGCTTAGACAACTAGACCTACGTAGATGAAGATACGCCATCAGCTTCAACTTAGGCACATCCTCCTGTAGTACAGTACCAGTGAAGCAAGATGAAGGTGCAGAAGTTGGACTGCACAGGCTTGGCTAAGCAATTGTTTTTGTAGTTCTGTGGCCAATAGTGCTTCATAGTTTATAGAGTTGCTTTTTACCATGTACCTCGTTGTTGGTCTCAGAGGTTAGTCTCGTTCAATTGGCTGTTTAGGAACTTACTTCTCCTGCGATGGTACCAGCTGCCTGTGGATGTTAGCTAGATCAACCACATAGTGCAATGGAGCCATGTTTTGCAACAAGAATAAGGCCAGTCCACATTGTTCAGGTCAGGGTTGGTTTTATGGACCTCTTCAAGGGAAAGCTAAGACACGAGAACAAGACATTGAAATCTAATGTATGATGAACCCTAAACCCTAAACACGAAAGCCCTGAAACCCTGAAACATTCAAACCCTAAATCCAAAAACCTAAATCCTGAACCCTAAACCCTAAACCCTGACGTATATTCGGGCATTTTGTCAGAAGTCAACTCCACCTAGAGGACTCCTGGCAGGCGACTCCCAAAACTCCAAACCTTGAGCGTTAAAGCCTCAGCTAGGGCTTAGGGTTTAGGATTTGGAGTTTAGGGTTTAGAGTTCAGGGTTTAGAGTTTAGGATTTAAGGTTTTGGGTTTATACCTGGGGGTTCAGGGTTAGGGGTTCTTTAGGAGTCTCCTCTGTTGCAGGCTGGGGCCTAGACCGTGACGCGCAGGCCAAGCTTGGAATCTGAAATGGAACTGCATCTCGTCAATGCTTTGTTGTTATCACTTTGCAATGCGGCTTATGTGTATATGCTTGGTATATGTATATGCAGCTATATATGGTACAGAGGCGGTAACTGGAATGACGATATGAGAAAGGTCCTGGCGGGACGTTTCTTGTACAGCTATCTCTAGCTGGCAGCGCAGCCGCGTAGAGAGCGTATTTCAGTGCACCCATCCTAATTCAATTCAGCAGCGTCTCACCCAGATTCCTTCGTGGAAGTGCGTCGAAACAAGTCCCCCCCAAGCAAAGCGGCAGAACCTAAACGCTAAACCCTAAACCCTAAACCCTAGGCCTCAGGTGTTTTCGACACATTCCCACACATGGCAATCCTTTATTCATCCTCTGCGGGTCGGAGGTACTTGGCTTGGCAGTAGATTTCATACCCAAAGGGTCCATGTAGGTATATAGGCCTTAGGGCTTTAGGGTTTAGGGTTTTAGGGTTTAGGGTTTTAGGGCTTAGGGTTTTAGGGTTTTAGGGTCCATGTAGGTATATGGGATACCCTTGGGCCTTAAAGTAGGTATATGGGAACCCCTTTGGGCCCTAAGTATATACCATATACCTGCATGGACCCTTTGGGATAGAACCTGGAACTTTTTGGCATACGGCATTTTCATAAAGAAGAAGGGGAATTTAGGATCTAACAGTAGGTATATTGGATGCAAAGCATCACTGGTCATGCTGACCACTCATCGAGAAAAGCCCCTGTTCGTTGAATGGGGTCTAGGGTTTAAGATCTAGGTGTACGGGAGCGAGAACTGATCACAGGAAGATCTTACGGTTGTGAACTGGGGCTTGGTGATCAAGATATTCGTAATTCGTCGCGCTTGCGGCCGGATGATTGGGTTGCACGGGGGCCACTGGAGAAATGCTGTGAATCAAGGCTTTGTAGTCTTTGATGACCATCTGCGTTGGTAGGTTCCTCTGTTATCGTCCCCTTCCCAACCCTATCAGACGGTATGTCAGAGATGCTGCTGCAAGGTGCCGTGATTGAAAAGAAGCAGCCCGTCCAACATGCAAATTTCCCGTAGGGGCGCATACGTACATGTCTATGTGTATGTATATACATATGTACATAGACAGAATTACTCACTTGTAGGGGGGGGAGTTGGGGGGAAGAGCAGCGCCAAAAAGGCACACATTTTTTTCGGGAGATCCAGCCATAGGTTCCCCAAGTCTAGAGGGCTTTGTGCAAGCCCTCCTGTTGCAGCTCCAGGGCCAAGCTCCATGATCAAAACAGGGGAAAGGCCGACCTAAACCTATAGTCGCCCTTAAGTAGATAGAATATGGGGTATGCCATTATCATATACCCAAAGCCATATTCTATCTACTTAAGGGGGGACTATATCCCAAGAGAAAGGGCATGGGTATATAGTTGCTGTTACGGGAGGTCTTGGGAGGGTTCCGGGGCCCCTCAGCCCTTAAGACTTGACCAAAAAAAGGTTGGAGCCATGTTCTGAGAAACCCAGGGTACCAGTGCATTTCGCTGTTGGGAGAGGGATGACATAAGGGAATTAGGGATGACAGCCCTAAACCCCTAAACCCTGAAGAAGCATGCAGACGGGCTAATTGCAACAGGGTCATACAAGCAGTTCAGTTTGCGGGGAGGTTAGGCCTTCCAAATGACGTTTATGATCTGCAAAACATTGCAAAACTATCCGAGTAATATGTAGATGCATAATCATGGTCCTCAATATCGTTCTGATGAGGGGCTGTTAGTGGCAGTGGGCGGAAGTCAGTCCGTAGCAGTGTAGAGTGTGAAGCCCTCAACCCCAAACCTTAAACTCTAAACCCTGCACCCTAAGCCCTACACCCAGAACCCTAAACCCTAAACCTTAAACCCTAAACCCTAAACCCTATAAACCCCCCAGAACCCTAAACCCTGGTGTTGGAGTTCAGAGCCATGGATGCCATTGCCGCCAGCTTGGAGGCGCAACGGATGCAACATGTAGGGGACGCGCTTCTCTAAACAGGGCCTGTGGGGATCAGCGCTTGAGGATTACAAGGATGCAGGGCTTAGGGTCTAGGGCACTCTAGGGCTTAGGGGTGTAGAATGTGGGGCTTCGGCGACATAGAGACATTACCTCAACACTTTACATGGGGAGCCTGTCAATGTGGAATCTGAAAGGCCTTCTTAGAGGAGACCAGAAAATCCCCTTCACTTCATCTTGGTGGCGCCTTTGCTGAATCAGATCCGTTGAATTTGCAGAATGCCTTCTTTCAGTTATTCGAATGCACACCAGAAGTTGCAAGCGACTACGGAATAAGCAAATGATGCACAAGGTCAAAATCTTGAACCTACAATATACATCAAAGCAAACAGACACTTGCTCAAGCCATTGTGTTCCCTAGGGCTCCGTGTTACCTAAATAGTAGGCTACTAGGCTATGTCACTATAGGGTATATAACACCCAGTCCCCATTTTTTTGGTAACTCGGAGCCCTAGGGGTTTTGACAGAAGAACTTCTGCTTGCTGTTATCCTTTGCGACCTTGTCTACTCCTTTCTCTGAACCGCATGGTCAAGTGAGCTAGAGCCTAAACTCCTTAAAGGGGGGTTACATGGAGGATTATAGGGGACTACTATGGTGGTTAGTAACAAGGGAGATACTGAAATCCTAGACCCTAAACCATATCCCAACCCCTAAACCTGGCTCGAGTGCATTGGTGGAAGTAGGCCATCTAAGGACTTCTCCGCTGGCTCTCCATCTTCACAGTCAGGGCAGATCAAACAGAGGGGACCATCAGCTGAATTAGGTTCGGTACTAAAGCCAGTTCAACTGCGCTAAAAGGGGTGTTGGTTGAAGTTTGGGAATCTGTAGGTCTTCCGCCTGACATTGCAAGAGTGACTTTTTCACAAGAACCAACGACAGGGCTGTTTTCCACCTCAACAAAATGCCTCCCCGGCAATGTTGAAAATTCTTTGAATTGCAGACCCTAGCCCTAAGCCCTAGGCCCGGATCTCTCCCCCGTCGCTACAAGCTGATCAGGCCATCGCGCAGGTGGTCAAGATCTCGTGCGCCATCCGTGTATGGTGAGGACGTATCCTTTGACTGACCCTGGAGTTAGGTAACGTATTATTTCCCCTTAATGAGCCCATTATACCCCATTGAAACTCTTTATGAGTGGGCTACCTTTTAGTAAGTATTACTGGGTCCCAATCCCAGGCTCCCAGAAGTAGGGCATGTCATCATTTGGGTTTCTCCGTAGTACTCCGAACGCCTTCACACGTTTAAAGAGCTGTCTCACGTCAGCAGTTCTTCATTCAAAGCCAAGGTGTTTCGGTTGAACATCATACCAGTTGAAAACCCTAAACTCTAAACCCCAAACCCTAAACCCTAAATTGTCAGTACCCCCCCTGGCCTTATCAAAGGCCAGTCTCAGGCATATGCTGGGGTTGTCGTAAGCAACCCTAAACCCCAAACCCTAGGTTGTTGCTTTCCCTTAAACCCTAAACCCTAAAGCCCAGGCTCTAATCCTAGAGTTCATATAGGTGAGTGCACAATGCACGTGTGGGGTATCCGTTCTGGGGAAGGGTCTAGGATTTAGGGTTTGCAGAAGGGTTTTGGATTTAGGGTTTATAGAGTCTATCAGGAGGCTCAAAAGGTGGGATGAGGGTAGGTGGGTTAATGGATCCTTACCATAATTTCTACTATGTCGGGGCTTATTTCCTATACCCCACCTTCCTTCATCCCACCTTTTGAGCCCTTTGAGTCTAGGGTTTACGGTTTAGGATTTGAGGTCTGGGATCATACCTCGCAGGTATGGGCCATGTGGCAAGGATCAGCTGATCGTAACGGAGAGGCAAAAGCTGGTGACCAACTCTGCAGGAACCTCAGTGCAGACGTATCGTGAATGGTGATACTCTAGTCCTACAGACCTCAGTATGGAGTTATCACAGAATCCGCCTTCGAGGTATAGCTTGCTACAGGAAAGATATAATCGTGCCCGATCTAACCACCAACAAACCATTGCTCCGGTTTTCTGCCATTTGGATGAGGTTGACAGGGATTAGGGCGCTGAAGCAAGGCTAGGGCTTCTGAATCTTCATGATTTCGATTCAGCTTAAGGTTCAATGGTTAGGGGTCAAGACTCGAAATCCATTGGGTGGCATGGGTAGACAACCTCAACAAGGCAATCCATAGGATCAGCCAACATGTTGCACGATGATGGTCCACTATCAGTATCAATCTGCCTTATAGAAGTTACCAATTTGAGCCCAGATCTTGAGTGTCAGATTCCCAGTAGTGTAAGATTAATCAGGAAACCTCATGCTTACTGTTAAGAGCTAGGTGTCTGTCCAGAAACAACAGCTCAAGTGGGATCGCAAGGCTGCGCGGATCTTGGCCCTGGCTCGACCTGGATCGCCCATCGCCAAGGCTGTTCTGGGTCGCTCGGGTCGCTTGAGAGGAAGTCAGGGTTCCTCTCACATGGACATTTATTGATGCGCTAAATCCAGCGAAACAGATTTTGCCCGACTCTTAGGGAATATAATCTCTATATACCCCATATGTACACTATATCTCCTTATTCCCTACTAGCAACCAGTAAGATGAGGGTTCTCTGAAAGCAAAGGCTCGCATCACTCGAATCCTTGTTAGGGATGTCTGAGCTTTGACCTGTCCTTAGTATTTGCCCATGACTCTTGAGCTATAGTCATAGTCTAAACTCCGCAAAGTGGGCTATATAGGGGAGTATTATTGGGGTTATTAAGAGGGATACTCACAGTTTGGACTATTGCTCTCTTGGTGTTGGAGGTGATTCTTGGCCACATCTGCAACTTTGCGCAGGACCCGCTGAATACCTCGTAGTACCGTTTTTCAAGCATGTCAAAGCCGCCACTAGGCGCTGTAGCATCTACTCGCATGTCAGCCTACATGATCGTCAACATTTCCCTGCTCTTCCTTTCCAGGAAGTGGGTGACGGCGCGGGGACGC